ATAGGAATAGAGTAGAAATCAGGAGTCCGGAAGTCTTCGGAAGAGTTCGGGTATGGCTCTAGTAGCTTTCCTTTCCTCTTTTGTAAGCTTTGTACTTTATTTAGAATACTCTTCTTTATATATTTATGGTATTGAAATACTTTCCGAGTATATGAATGCCAACTTTACATTATGTTCATGTTATATTGATTACTCCACACTGCTAGCCTATCTGGGAGATGCTTTGGTGCGGTATAATGTTTGCTCATGCAATTACTCTATGTCATGACGATAATATTAGAGTAGTATCTGTTAGTTTAGGCGTGGTGTCTAGATTACGAGATATCATTATTTGGGGTTATATGTTGCGGATGAGAGGTAGGCCGCTGATGGTGACAGCTCAGTACAGGTATTCCTCCATGCGTGTATGTAGTCCTAAGTTAATTTCCTGGGAAGGATACTCCTCCATATTTAGCCCGGGTTGTATGGTCATGACGGGCTGTTGTAAGGAACTCGGCAGTCAGGGGTGGCTTCTCGAAGTACCAGGAGGGCATTGGATAGAGGGTATTAGCTAGTATATCAGATAATTAGGATGTATGTATACTATGTATACTAGAAATATATGAATAGATTCTCTTTCTCTTTTCTTTCCACTTAGCTTAGATATTTTAGTATGAGAATGAGTAGCTTACTAGTTGTGTGTCACTCTACCCTTGGATTATCTTAACCCCTACTTAGACTATGATATTTACAAGTAACATATACATTATTAGACATGTTCTCTCTACCATGATCTTCCCACGGGATTAAATAAATACAATACCATTGGAATACTCTCGGGTAAAATGCTACAATGGTATATCCGTGCGCTTGCGGATGAACTCTGTAACCATAATATATCAGGAGTATTCTTGCGCCATTGCTGGGAATTATATTTCTAGTAATGTCGTTAAGAAATACCAACAATTGTCATGAGCGACTTGGGTAATTAGCATGAGTATAATTTTATGCTTTCCAAAATACTTCATAGAAAATGGTTGGGAATGGAAGCTTGATGATGATTTGGATTTATGATGATGACTTGTTACCATGGAAGGTGCGAGTATAATTTTTTATGATTTATGATGAAGTTAATGAGAAGAAAATTATGATTATGTTGCTACAATTAATTATGACAATCACCATGCTTTATGTTACATACATGTTCTTCAAATGCTTAACAAATTTACCGTTTGTGAAATATTGTGAAACGACTTAGCTTTGTGCAAATTAACCTACAAATAGCCTTTCTTTGATATTTAGAGCTTGCATGTACGTAGGATCGTATTGCTTGTTAATGTACTAACACGTGTCTCTTTGTGGTATATTTAAATTGTTTTGTAGGATTAGTTGCGTGCCGTGGGTTTCGTTTTTCTTCTCCGAATGGTTCAGTAAGGTTCTACCCTTAGTTGTATTGCTTAAGGGTCTTGGGTAAATAAGCTTTCGTGCGAACCTCTATTTATTAACTGTGCTATAATTTTTATGAGATAGCACTATAAGTACAATATGTGTTACATTTGGTTGTCTTTATCAAGCAAACATCTATCTTTGCCCTGTCTGCATTTTAAATCTGCGTCCACCTACTACTGCTGACCAGGGCGACTTGTCAAATCTAATTCAGTACACAGCTTCACACACAGCATAGGGTAGCAGCTAGAGCATGTAGTTGGTACTTTGAGTGCAGTTTATATGAAGCAGAAGCTAGAACATGTAAAGACTGAGCCACAAAGTTCTATTCCGAGAAATACTCCAATAAAAGCTGGCCCAAAGTTTAGGTTTTCTCTGTTCTGTGTGGTTCCTACCGGATCAACTACAGTATGTTGTCAAGATGTTCGATCTGATGTCTTTTGCTAACATGCTTTTCCAAATCGACGTTGCCTTTCTATCTTGAACACCTCTAGAGCTGAACAATCTATAGGGATTTAGTTGAAAAACCATCTCTTGTTCCATATGCCATATAATTGCATCGCTCTCCTCATTTAGTCAATCTATCCCTTTAAATAAGTACATTGGTTCTTTATACCTCTCAACATCATATGCGACAAGGATGCACACAACCATTATATGACCATATGTACAGTACATGCAATTATTACAAGGTAAACGATAACACAAAACAAAAGGAAATATAACAAAACAAATTCTCAATGTAAATCTCACTATGTTATTTTTTTTAGAGAATGGTATTTTTTGCCCGGCTGTTAACAACCGAATTTGGTAGTATTCGTATCAGGAAAGGTGATTTGATCGAAGAAGAGTTGGAGGCGGAGATCGATTTCTGGAACAAAGCAAGAATGGGCTGGAGTCTGGATCGGCTACGGTTAGGATCGGCTACGGCTAGGATCGGCTAAGGTTGAGTTAAGCTAAATAAGCTGATATAGCTGATTTTAACAATACAACTTGTGCGCGACGTCAGGCTCAGGTTGATGTGCTTCAAGATGATTTCCACGCATGGATAGAGTCCTGGGAAGGCAATTGTATCTATTAATTAGGATTATTTATGTAAATTCCTTATAGATAAGTGTGGGCAAAAGTCTGCCGCAAAGCTTTGTGATATTTTAGAGTTTGTTAGGGATCACTACCAGGAGGGGAGCCTCTCCCGAGTGCAGCAAAATGGTACCGTGTGTTTCAAGCAGCACTCCGTAAGTTACCGGGTGTTTGGAAGGAGCACTAGGTAAGAAAATACGTTACCGTGTGTTAGCTCACTACACCAGGTAATCAAAAGGATTACGGAGTGTTCTGCAACGAAGCTACGGATTTCAGGGCGACATCGATCGAAACGGCGATTTTTTTTGCCGCGAACTTTATTTTGTCACGGCGGGAACGGAAACTTGAGGGCCCCATCCATCCAAATTCCGGTTTCCGTTGGCGCGAATTTTATTTGGTTGCGGCGGGATCAAATTAGAAGCGGAGGGAACGGCAAATATAGAGTTCTGTAACGACACGTAACGCTTGCCGCGTGTCCTCGTGCAGGGAACTCGGTAATCCCAACTGTTGAACGGAACAACAGGTCTTGGCCCACCTGTCGATCTTGAGCTGAAGATTTGCCACGTCCAGCCGTCCTTTGGTTACCTCCAGTGGAAAATTATAGAATAATTAAACTTTGAAATTTAGAAAACCGAAAAAACAACTTAGCTAGGATTAACTAATTATTACTCTCTCGTTTGACTTTTTTTTTCAGACTTCTTTAAATTTGATTAGATTTATATAAAAATATAATAGAATTTTCTAAAAACAAACGTATTATCAAAATATGCTGAATAATGAATTTAATGAAACTAATTTCATGTTGTAGATATTGCTAATATTTTTCTATAAATTTGATCAAACCTAAAGAAATTTGATTTTACGAAAAAATCAAACGACTTGTAATATGAAACAAAACAGAGGAAGTGATTGTGTTTACATTAAGGGGAGAAATTGTAGGACCCACATATCAGAAAAATTGTATCATAAAAATTTAAAGAAATTACCTATATGTAAAAGAAAAAAAAACAACCTACATTACACCTTTGCTTATTTCCCCCTAATCCGACGAGGACGATGGACCGAGACCAAGGTCGATGTCGGCGGCCTTCGCACTGCACATAAAGCATGCCTGCCATACCACTTGCCTAGATCTGGACTTCCCAGACCTTGCTCACATCCTCGCCAGCATATCCGTCCACATCTTTGATATCTTTCCTCCACCTTTTCCTCTTTGGTGACGGTAGCCAACCACTACCTTGTGCTCATTCGTTCTTTCTCCTTCTCAAGGTTGCGATCAGGGAGCCATGGCACACAACGTTGGAGCTCCAGCGTTAAATCAGATCTGGTTAGAGGCCGCGGTACTGCGCTTGGGGCAAAGCGCCTGAATTGGGCTTACAATGACGACCTCCTTGATCTCTCTCCTTGGCAGCAGCGCAATCATTGGCGTGGATGAAAGGACATTGACATGCTCTAGGTAAAGGATGTGGGGTAGGGCAACGATGGCTGTCGACGCTACTCCTGGATCCTGCTGCCAGGGAAAAGGATGAAGTTCTTTAGACAGAGATAATATAGAAGATATAATACATTGCAATCGACCCAAGCAATGATGCCAATATAATGGTTTATAAATAGGTATAGACTTTCGGTCCAAAGGATGTCATTGATCTTTTAGTTCGCACTTAAGTCAGACTGACACACGTGGAGCCTTTTAAGTATTACGAATATAATACTCCCTATATTTTTAAAAAATATAAGGTGTTTTAGTTTTATCCCAAGTCAAAGTCCCTAGATTTGACCGAGTATATGGAAAAATTATTACATAACATTGATCCGAGTATAGGAGATACACCTGATCCATAACATTAACAAATCTACAATTTTATTATACACCGGCTAAATTTTTAGCTATACGATAGTTTGGTTAAAGTTTATATAGTTTTATGAAATTTACTTAAGAAAATGAATTGAGGTACCTACTAAATATGTTTTTTTAGAATTATGTAATTTAGAAACTTACAGTATAAATACATGTTGACTATTTTTCATGGGAAATATGACAACACATTTAGAGCAAATCTGTTTTGTTAATATAATAAAAACTAGTCAGATTTCAGTTAAATTTGGTCCAAATTATTCCACCTCGGTTTGGTCAAACCAGCTGCCAACATTCAAATTATAATTTCAAAAAGTTCAATGGTTTTAGTCCAAAATCAATCAAATTTTCACGCATTTGGTACCCTACCACCAGGGAAACAAAATTCTCCCTCCAAGACATATTTCAATGTCTGGTGGCGCGGAGGAATACAAATTTCACATCTTCATTTAGGGCCTGTTCACTTTGGTGCCATTTTCAACCTTACCAAATTTTGGTAAAGTTGCCAAAAAAGTGGCTACATTTAGTTTGCTGCCAAATTTTGGTAACTATATAACAAATCCTGCCAAAATTTGCCAAAATTTGGTAAGGTTTTTTTGGCAGCAAAGTGAACAGTCCCTTAGATAAGTCACCGCCTGCTCCATACAATCCCCAGTCCCCACTCCACCATCCCTCCTCCCTGCCTATCTTCACTCTCCCCCTGCGACCGCCGCTAGATCTGGATGCGCCGACTTCGGCTCAGGCGACGGCCGACGGCGTTAGGCGCGTTGGCGGCTTGCTGGCTGGCGGGCTGAGGGTGTGAGGTAGGCGGCGTCGCGAATCGCGGGCGCGCACAGCGGCTGCGCCGTGCCCATGAGCGATGGACGGAAAGGCGCGGAGGAGCCTGCAACCAGGCGGGTGGCGGCCAGGCGAGCGGCCGACGCCCGTGAAGGCTGCGTCTGGGGCTCCACCAGGAATCGCCACCAATAGCCGGCTCTCACGCTTCAGATCCGAACGCCAGCTGACCAGCGCCACCCTCTGGAACTGGAGAATCCCAGTCACTGCTCGTGCGCACTGCTGGCCCGGCCTCTCGACGTCCTCCCTTCTGGCAGCCGCTGCTTGATTGCTTGGTAAGGGTACATGTTCAACCCGTGCTAATATGTGTATTTGCTTGTTGCCACAGTGGTCCACTCTAATGCTATTTGGTCGTAGTTTTCACCATACTCATTGTGTCTTTTTTAAAAACCTAATACTTGTTGGAAATATAGTCATTATTCGGCATATTTTAATCCAAGAAATTGAAACTATGATCATGGCATAAGCAGTGTAGGGTGATCTTAACATAACCAGTACCATACTATGCGCATCATGAATGTCAGAAACAGGAACATACCAGTAATGCGATAACATGCTAGAGGCATCATGTAGAACAGGAACAAGAACATAGCGCACACAGTATAGCGCTAACAATGGGAACAGGAGTAGCGCTAACAGCAGTAGAAGGAGAAGATTATACCCCGAGAATGGCCCTCCGCTGGATGGTGAGGCAGAATTGCCTCCGTTGTTGTAGTCGTTCACGGCACCTCCTCCTGGCGCACCAGCTCCGGATCCAGCTCCTGTCGGCGTCGGCGCAGCTCCTGTCGGCGGAGCCGCACCACCTCCGCCAATAGCGGCGGCAGCAACTCCAGACATGGCGATGAGCAGTCGTGCAGGAGGCACTCCCCAAAAACCTGATCACCCGCCTACCCGGTGCAGATCTCAGGCGAAGGTGTGGTTTCGGAGGCACTGCTTCTTCCAATCTCTCGTGCGCGCAAGAGATCAGAAGCGAGGAAGCGAGAGAGCGACTCAGGCACGGAGGAGGAGAAACTAACACCGGGAAAGAAGCGAAGAAAACGGATCAGACTCGCGGCCTCCTTATCTATCAGGAGAAAGAACGTGGACGCGCTGTTGCGGAGGGAATCGTGGGAACGTGGGTTAGTGGCTGCAAAAGGATAGCGACGTGACGTGACGCACGCCGCCAGCCAGCCACGCCACGCCACGCCTCGCCACGCCTCGCCCACGCCCACGCCCCGGCCCGGCCCGGCGCGCACGCGCGCGCGTGTGGCATTCTGACCCCCACCTCAACTGGTCAACAGGGAGCCTCTAATAACTCCCTATTTAGGTTGAGATATTTCTCGCTTAAATCCTGAGGTGGTATTATTATCCTTAACATTTATTATGGGCCTTTGAGATTTAATAGAATAAATTGGGCCTAGCCCAATTATTCTAACAATCCCCACCAAATTTCAAGGCTCATAAGAAATGTTCTCAATGTTGTGCCTGTTTGATATACCAGGGTTTTGGTGGAGACTGTTAAGTTGAACTTCCACCTAGGAAATGAGCTACATCAGACCACAACTTAACAATGGACTATGCCTTGAATTGTAAGTTTTGTGTGATCAGGTTTCACTTAGAACCTTGACTGGTACTGGTCTGCCGTTCGCATCCCCTCTGTTTGGAGCATATAAGTCAAACTCCAGGCCTTTCATGAGTATCTAGAGATTGCCCAAACCTCATAGACTGTGACTAGCAGTCGAACTCATATAGGTGTGTTCCTTCTGAGATGTTCTGCAGGTCAACATCTCTGCTTGGAAAAGCCACTCGGATCACATTAAGACATAAGCCATCCTACCATGCAGGAAAGAAGAGAAGCACATCATGGAAATGAGCCCTTTTCAAGGGTCTCTTCTCTCAGTCACACAATAGTTTGTTTCACCATCCAAATTCACGGGATCTCCGATCACAATGGACAGGTTTCCACTATTATGCAACCTTAGGTGGGTATCAAGCCCATTTCCCTCGATGCACTGTCTATCACATTACGTGGTAGCCCCTTTGTAAACTGATCTGCCAGATTTCTAGCCGTTTGGACATAGTCCAATGCTATCACTCCGGAGTTTTTCTGCTTTCTGACAGATTTCAGTCTTCTCTTGATGTGTCTAGATGACTTCATGTTGTCCTTTGAACTGTTCACTTTAATAATCACTGTTTGATTATCGCAGTTCATTAGGATAGCTGGCACTGGTTTTTCAACCACCGGCAAATCCATCAGGAGTTCACGAAGCCACTCGGCCTCAACTGTCGCAGTATCTAGTGCTGTAAGTTCTGCTTCCATTGTTGACCTCGTTAAGATGGTCTGCTTGCAAGACTTCCAGGAAACAGCGCCACCTCCAAGTGTGAACACAAATCCACTTGTGGCTTTTATCTCATCAGCATCAGATATCCAGTTTGAGTCACTATACCCTTATAGTACTTTTGGATACCCGGTATAGTGAATTCCATAGCTCATAGTGCCCTTTAGATAGCGCATTACTCTTTCCAGAGCCTGCCAATGATCATCTCCCGGATTTGAGACAAACCGGCTCAGCTTGCTTACAGCAAATGAGATGTCAGGCCTCGTTGCGCTAGCCAAGTACATCAATGAACCAATGATTTGAGAGTATCTCAGTTGATCCCTTGCTATTCTTCGGTTTTTCCTTAATAGCATGCTGGGATCATAAGGAGTAGGAGCTGGCTTGCAGTCACTATATCCAAAGCGACTCAAAACCTTGTCCACATAGTGGGATTGCACAAGTGTAATCCCATCCTCATCTCCTCTTTGTAGTTTGATGTTAAGAATAACATTAGCCTCTCCCAAATCCTTCATTTCAAAATTCTTAGACAGATAGTCTTTGACCTCCTCAATCACATTAAGGCTGGTCCCAAAGATCAGTATGTCATCGACATACAAGCACAAGATCACCCCTTCTCCCCCACCATAGCGATAGTATACACATTTGTCAGCTTCGTTCACAACAAAGCCTGCAGATGTAAGCGTGATGTCAAACTTCTCATGCCATTGCTTAGGTGCTTGCTTGAGGCCATACAAGGATTTCAATAGTTTACACACCATTCCCTCCCGACCTTCTAGTACATACCCGTCTGGTTGATCCATATAGATCTCCTCCAGCTCTCCGTTTAGGAAAGCTGTCTTAACGTCCATCTGATGGACGAGAAGACCATGAGAGGCTGCCAGAGCAAGTAGTACTCGAATCGTAGTCAAGCGAGCAACTGGTGAATATGTGTCGAAGAAATCCTCGCCTTCCTTTTGGGTATAACCCTTGGCCACAAGCCTTGCCTTGTACTTTTCGATTGTACCATCAGGCCTAAGCTTTTTCTTGAAAACCCATTTGCATCCTACGGGCTTGCACCCATATGGACGCTCAACGACTTCCCAAGTACCATTAGACATAATCGAGTCCATTTCACTGCGTACTGCTTCCTTCCAGTAGTCAGCGTCAGGAGATGAATATGCCTCTTCTATGGTTCTTGGGGTGTCATCCACGAGGTATACAATGTAGTCATCTCCAAAGGATTTTGCAACCCTTTGTCTCTTACTCTTGCGAGTATCTACAATGTTGTCCTCCTCAGGATTTTCCTCAGGCGTTTCATCATTGTGTTCTATCGGTGCAAAGTGCTCATGGGGCATGACAGTTTCTTTACTAGAAGTGCTAGGTGTATATTTCATAGGAAATTCATTATCAAAGAATGTAGCATCTCTAGACTCAAAAATTGTACCAGCATGCATGTCGGGTACTCCAGAGTTTACTATTAAGAATCTATAACCCACACTGTGGATAGCATAACCAAGAAACACACAATCAACAGTTTTTGGTCCAAGTTTCCGCTTTTTGACTATAGGTACATTTACCTTGGCCAAACAGCCCCATGTTCGTAGGTATGAGAGATTTAATTTCTTCCTTTCCCATTCCTCGAATGGTGTTACTTCCTTATGCTTCATTGGAATTTTATTCAGGACATGACACGCAGTCAAAACTGCCTCACCCCACCATTCCTTCGAAAGCCCCGCAGTGTCTAACATGGCATTCACCATCTCAGTTAGAGTACGGTTCTTTCTTTCGGCCACCCCATTTGATTGGGGTGAATAGGGAGGCGTCATCTCATGAATAATTCCAAACTATTCGCAAAAAGATGCAAACTCATTGGAAAAATACTCCCCACCTCTATCAGACCTCAACCGTTTGATTTTCCTTTCAAGTTGGTTTTCTACCTCAGCTTTATAGATTTTAAAGTAATGCAATGCCTCATCCTTTGTTTTCAATAGATACACATAGCAAAATCTAGTGCAATCATCTATCAGTGTCATGAAATATTTCTTTCCCCCTTTAGTCAACACGCCGTTCATTTCGCACAAATCGGAATGAACAAGTTCTAGAGGTGCCAAATTCCTCGCCTCAGATGCCTTGTGAGGCTTGCGAGGTTGTTTCGATTGAACACAAGTATGGCACTTGGAACCTTTGACCAAAGTGAATTTTGGAATTAAACTCATGTTAGCTAAGCGCGTCATACAACCGAAATTCACATGATAGAGTCGCGAATGCCACACATTAGACTCATCATTCTTGCTAATATGGTTCACAGCGTTATGATTATTACACATGTCATTCAAAGAAAAGCGGAACAAGCCTCCGCTGTCATAACCTTTTCCAACAAAAGTCCCATATTTAGATACGACACATTTATTGGACTCAAACACAAGTCTAAAACCTTCTCTACACAATAGAGAGCCGCTAACTAGATTCTTCTTTATTGAAGGGACATGCTGCACGTTCTTCAGCTGCACGGTCTTTCCCGAAGTAAACTTCAGATCGACCGTACCAACACCATTAACAGCCGCAAGCGACCCGTTTCCCATCAACAAGGAGGAACCTCTCCCGACCTGATAAGAAGAAAACAGAGAAATGTCAGCACATACATGAATATTAGCACCAGTATCCACCCACCAATCAGGTGAATGAAAAACAGAGAGAACTGTAGGTAATATTTTACCGTACCCCGATGTTCCTCCGCCCTCGCTAATGATCATGTTGGCAGACTTCCTGTCTTTGCGCTTAGGACAGTCCTTGGCCCAATGCCCAGACTTGCCACACACAAAGCAGTCTCCCTTTGCCTTTCCCTTGCCTTTCTTCTTAAAGTTGGTTGCAGCCTTGGGTTTGACATCAGGCTTGACTTTCTTGTTGTTGTGGGATGCATGAGGGTTCTTCTTCTGTACCATATTGGCACTAGAACCTCCCTCAACCTTTTTGCCCCGGACGTCCTTTGCCCTCGCCTTCTCCTCAACACCCAAAGAGCCAATGAGATCAGGAACACTGAACTCTTGTCTCTTGTGCTTTAGTTTGGCAATAATGCCACCCGCCACAAACTTGTCCGGCAACTCACGGTTGTTGTTCTCAAGTTCCTTAGCCAGCATCTGAATCTCATGAGCTTGTTCTACTACAGAACGGTCATCGACCATCTTGTAGTCATAGAACTGCTCCATGACATACAGCTCACTGCCGGCGTCAGAAACTCCGAACTTGGCCTCGAGTGCATCCCACATGTCCTTCCCAGAAGGCATGTGCATGTACACGTCCACTATGTTGTCAGCGAGTACACTGATCAATGCTCCACGGAACAGGCAATCCGAAGCCTCGAACTTAGCCTCTTCCTCAGGAGAAAGAGGTGGTTCACTTCGTTTGCCCCGTGAAACATAGAAGCACTGCATCGCTGTCAACCACAATAGTGCACGTGCTTTCCATCTCTTATAGTTTGAACCATCAAAAGCATGTGGTTTCAGTGCAGCAGCAAAGCCAACTACCGAAAATGACCTATCAGGTTTTTGGATTGTTGGAAATATAGTCATTATTCGGCATATTTTAATCCAAGAAATTGAAACTATGATCATGGCATAAGCAGTGTAGGGTGATCTTAACATAACCAGTAGCATACTATGCGCATCATGAATGTCAGAAACAGGAACATACCAGTAATGCGATAACATGCTAGAGGCATCATGTAGAACAGGAACAAGAACATAGCGCACACAGTATAGCGCTAACAATGGGAACAGGAGTAGCTCTAACAGCAGTAGAAGGAGAAGATTATACCCCGAGAATGGCCCTCCGCTGGATGGTGAGGCAGAATTGCCTCCGTTGTTGTAGTCGTTCACGGCACCTCCTCCTGGCGCACCAGCTCCGGATCCAGCTCCTGTCGGCGTCGGCGCAGCTCCTGTCGGCGGAGCCGCACCACCTCCGCCAATAGCGGCGGTAGCAACTCCAGACATGGCGATGAGCAGTCGTGCAGGAGGCACTCCCCAAAAACCTGATCACCCGCCTACCCGGTGCAGATCTCAGGCGAAGGTGTGGTTTCGGAGGCACTGCTTCTTCCAATCTCTCGTGCGCGCAAGAGATCAGAAGCGAGGAAGCGAGAGAGCGACTCAGGCACGGAGGAGGAGAAACTAACACCGGGAAAGAAGCGAAGAAAACGGATCAGACTCGCGGCCTCCTTATCTATCAGGAGAAAGAACGTGGACGCGCTGTTGCGGAGGGAATCGTGGGAACGTGGGTTAGTGGCTGCAAAAGGATAGCGACGTGACGCACGCCCGCCGCCAGCCACGCCTCGCCCTCGCCCACGGCCCGGCCCGGCCCGGCGCGCGCGCGCGCGTGTGGCATTGTGACCCCCACCTCAACTGGTCAACAGGGAGCCTCTAATAACTCCCTATTTAGGTTGAGATATTTCTCGCTTAAATCCTGAGGTGGTATTATTATCCTTAACATTTATTATGGGCCTTTGAGATTTAATAGAATAAATTGGGCCTAGCCCAATTATTCTAACAATACTACTGCCTGTAATATGAACTTGGTGACCAGTTCCTTCACCTTAATTACTGTGTATGCGGATTTGTGTCTGAAGGTTGCGGTGTGAGATTATTCTCTCAAGCTGCACTGCAAATTGATTTTCCTTCAATTTCTCTGCATGGTCAAAATTAACATTTGCAACATGGATTCATGGCCTATTGCTCAATTCTAATTCTTAGTAGTCTTGATTGGTGGTGGCTGGCTGCTATGGTCGTTCACATGATCATGTAATTTGTTAATCAGGATTAGTTTCATTGTTCCCTTCTCCGAACCCAGAATAAGCACTTCTTGTTCATATGCTAAATTTATTTTATTTTCTGGTTGTACAACCTTCTGATTATAATTATAACTTAAATTTTTCAGTCTTTTGCAGTGAACTATGATTTTGGTGTTGCGGCCTACTCAGTGCTCACCCATCACACTCATACCTGAGAAACTGGTGCTATGAAAATCTGCATATTGGACTGTTTATGCAATCATTTCAAAAGGTTCTTACTATCACTCTTTTTTTATTTCAAATATTTGATTCTTCAAAAAACTATCCTTCATAATTTGTACAGGAGGGGTAAAACGATAGCCTCAAAAATAGACTGTACTGCTAGATAAATGAAGAAAATTAGTACTGAACCATCTAAGTATGGTGTATTGATCACTTCAGAAAAGTGAAAATGTAGTTTGATCGTATGGAAACCTTGTCTCTGCTCTGCTAGTTAACTGAAGAAAATTAGTACTAAACCATGTAAGCTTGGAGTGTCGATCACTTCTGAAGAGTGAAAATATAGTTTGGTCCTACGGTAACCTTGTCTCTGCTCTTTTCTTGCTGCTATGCTGGATCTGATGTTACTTCTAGTGACTCACTTGACCTATCCTTGGTAAAATATGCAAATTTGTGAAGCACTTGTTAGATGATTCTTGTATTCCTTAATCTCTGATTATGAATACTATTGGGTGACTGCAAAAATTAATTGGTATGTCCAACTGCTCTCTTTAGCATGAATAGTATTGGGTGATTGCAAGAATTAATTTGACCTACACTGCTTTAGTTCAAGAAATGCATACCATAACTAAGTTTTTGTTTATACTCCGTTGTTAACATCCGAACATAGTATTGATGCATATTGCTTTTGTAATATCTATACAATATGGGAGTTTGATCTTAACTTTTTTTTTTTGTGAAATCAGCAGATCATTTATGTCCTGATGCCGCAGTCATCTCTACTTCACTAGTTGAGTTAAGCAATCGCTAATTGCTTGGAAAACTAGGAAGCACAATATAGCTGAAGGTCCAGACAGGGGTTTGACATCATGGCTTAGAGCAATAGTACCATGCCATTTTAGAGTGAAGTAGTATTCCCAGGATGCAAAAGAGATACATTGAAATTTGCCTAGTAAGTCCCTTTTTTTGGACTGCTTGCGATGCCGTTCATCTAAACTTATGTCTGGTTGAACGGCTTTTGGTTTCTAAGCCTGTACTTGTAGGAAGTAGTGTTCAATTCGATCTCAGTTGTAGCTGTTTATGATATTTGTATTGCTATTGTTTGATACCATATTGTTGTCAAATTGATTAATCGAATGAATATGTATGTCGATGCATTTGAATCCACTATGGTGTTTTTTATGTGACTGCCTGTGATGTGTAGTTTGGATGCTACTATAATTCTGATGTAGCTAATTAATTAGTATAAATGAAGCAGCGAAATAGTATTTAATTTGCCCCTGGAATTAGTCGGTAACCATGTGAAACTGTTCCAACCGTTACATTGCGGAGTGCCGCGCTTTAAGCTGCACCAGGTAACGAGGGAACACTTGCCGTGTGTCTCCCCGACACTATGCAATTCTGCCTTGCCCGTTCCGTCACCGTCTGCCGTTGCCCGTTGCTGTTCTGTCTGGTTGGACGGTGTTCTGAAAACGTTACCGAGTTTCTACTGCACTCTGTAAGTTTCCTGTTGTTACGGAGTGTATGCAGCCAATACACACCGCGAGGTTGCACGGTAAAACAAAATCTCTCCCGGGTGAAGTTTGCAGAGTGTGGCACTACGCAAACAGGTTAATGAGTGTTTTTTGAACGTTGCCGTGTGTTTTTGGCACTAGGGAGACACTCCCTCTCCAGTAGTGGATAATGGTCGTGTCTGGTATGGGCATATCTTGTAATCCTCGGGTATAAATAGACCCCGAGCCCTATGTAATTTGAACACACACATTCAATACAATCCCGGTGCATCGCCACCTTTTGCTTTAGTTTTATTTCGACAAGTTCTTGCTTTCGGGTTAAGCTGCATCGGTTTCGATCTTCAATAAGAGGTAAAACTCGTTATGACGAATTATGTTCTTAGGGATTAGTGCTTATATCTTCATGACACTCTAATCTCGTTTATATAATTCGCCGAGTTATCATATATCTTACATAATCTTCAACAATATCTTTATCTAATCTATTATCGGCTAACATTTGTATGCAGAAGACAGCCGATTAGGTTAGATCTCGACGTTGATTTAGATTATATAAGATATCTACCATTCTATGAATCTTCTAGCGGCTTGATTGTCTAGATATTGTTCTTCTTTTCATACTTAATGCTGCATCAATTGAGTTTGATCTATTAAGTCGTGCTTAGAATACTGATCTCTAGCCTGCCATCTAGTTGTTGATTAGAATAGCATCGGAGTTTCAGCCAATCGTATCTGATTTAACTATACTTACTCTATTTGCTTCGCTGGTATGTTAAATCTGCTTTTTATATTGAGACAATGCTATATTCAAATGTATTAAACTATTGTTCAATATATTATTATTGTTTTAACATCTTAATATAAAGTAGTATCGGAGTATTAGCCGATACATGTTAGATCTATCTGATCGGCTATGTTATAAACACATATAATCCCGTTATGGATGTATATTTCAATCTAAGTGATTTATACTATCTCGGTATAATAACCGATCTATCCCAATCACCTGATTTAAATAAACATCGATATAAGGATTATATATCATTAATATTTACAGCCGATCAAGTAGATTTAGTTTTTCCTTACTTATTCACGACTGCCGATCGATACACAGATGACATCGGCTCGAATATAAATGATATGTCATCGGCATCTGGCCGATCGGCTATCATTTATAGATTTAACCACGGTTCCTTTGTCTTTATTTCTTGTTGATTACAGGATCAAATCAACTGGCACGCTTACACATCCGAAGGCGAGTTTTGGACCTGCACTGGAGTTAAGCAGATCTCCCAGGCCTCGTGTTTTCTGTCAACACCGGCCTCTACATCCAACCGGATATATGCAACCATTTTAATTTTAGGAACTTAGCCTATCAAACAGGGAACTCAGCCCTCAAATAACCCAATCTAAAATTCGCTCCTATGGAGATTTGAACTCAGGACCTTGGGGTGCTACTCAGGTCACTGCAACCACTAGGCTACATGCCCTTTCGTATCTCATTGTGTTATATGAAACGACCGAAATGTGGATGTCTACAAACTAACATTGAGATTCACGAACATGCGACGTATATGTATATATGAATATAACCTGATATTTATACAACATATAGAATTATAGATGGTTCAAGAATTCATATACATAAAAGGAATATACTTGATTATTATCTATATTCTTGCGGCTAATAAACTATATTATACATGCAGGACCTACCAACTTGCGTGACTTAATACCGAAGGTTTCCAATGACATCAATGGCAGTGAGTGCCATAATAGTCACCACAGCAAAGACAATTATGTTGAATATGTAAACAACGATTAGCGGATATTGCCGCCTGATGCGTCTCTTCGCGCGGCGTTCTTGTTCCAAGCGTCCCCCTATCAGAAACATTAGAATGCCTTTAACTGATCCAGGCATTGTAGCCTTTGTTAGCATCATCATCAAGATGTACAATCCGTGATACATAACACGTGTTGGTGCAATCCTTATAGAATTATTCTTGTCCATCACTGCAATTATACTTATGAAGAAGGCTAGCAACATACAAATCAGTGAGAGCCAAAGTGAGTGCATTGCGATTATAAAGCTTGGCCATGAGCGATGCGACTGTGCAATCCTTCCATACAACAAAAGTATTGTTGCAACTACAGAAGTGGTGACTGCAACAGTGTCTAGCACCACGAAGGCGTGGTACAAACGGTCACCATTCAGATTTGCCTTTCCATCTGATCCATATGATCCAGGCATGTTGAATGTAGCCGAGAAGGCGATTGTCGCCACAAGAGTAGAAACAATTGCAAGATACTTTGATGTAGTCGCTTGCCATTTTATGATGTCCTGACCGTTCCATTTCACTATATGGTCTTGCCTTTGTGGTCGGAATTGCGCTCCAGATACATATAGTTTCAAAATTATCCTTACCTGCATTAGGCAAATATAAAGATAATACATTATATTCACCTATTTGAAAATACATCTTCAAACTCAGGAATAATGAAATGAAGATGGAAGATTGAGATGCAAATACCATTGTGTAGAAACCTGTGGACTTTTCTGCCAGGTCATATGGAGTGTGCCCTGCATAGTTCATGATGTGGTTCTGTACCTTTCCACTATATAACAGCTTAGATATAACTTTATATTCCCCTGCAATAACAGCTAAGTGAAGTGGTGTATTCCCCTCGTTGTCTTGTTCATTCAAAATATGCATAAGCATCCTGTTTTTTATAGCATATGAGATAACCGAAACATGGCCTCGCATAGCTGCAACATGCAAAAAGGTTCTTCCATGGTTGTCACGAATGTCTGCGGAAGCTGGGGAGAACTTCAGCAACAAGCGTACTGCAGTTGTATGACCCATCAACGCTGCCACATGCAAGGCGGAGAGGCCGTCACTATCCTGTAACTGTGTAGCACTGGGTGGAGTGTGTTTGAGGATTTCTTGGATGACAGAACAATCTCCGTCAGATGAGGCATAATGGAGTGGGGTGCTCTGGCTGCTGTCAAGTTGGGTTGCAAGCTCTTCTCGCCATTGCAATAGCAAAGAAACCATTTCTGGAGATAACAAATTATGTCGCTCTCATTAGAATTAACAAAGCATGGCGCAGTATAAAATGAATAAGGAATAAGTTAATTACCTAATTTATACACATCATTTTGACTGCATGTAAGTTTCTCAAAACAAACACAAAATGTTTCTTGATACTACTTTATAAGGACTTTTTAGAACGATTTGGGAATAAGTTGAATATTTGATCTGACAAAAGAATTCAAACTTTTAGATCATACGTGCCAAAAGTAAAATTTTTATTTTACTAAGTATCTATAGATGGTCAAATACTCACATGTACATGGGATTATAAGTCACACAATTGTTCGGTCGTGTGCAGTATATGGCATTCAAACCCACGACCTATTTGACACTCTAAATTACTTTTAAAGTTCTAACAAAATAAGTTGAAATTAATGTAAGGTGTTTTCTATTTTTAATTGCATTTTCATTGTTTACTTTTTCCATAAGAAATCTTGAGAAACTTTTATTACTCATAAATTTATATTTTTACCATCCTGCTAGCTCTCAAATATACATATCTTAGATAGCGATTGTCTATAATATGTGAGACCCTACGGTATTTTTAAGAAAAGACCTGGTCAACATGAATCTTAAAATGATATTTTTTTAAAAAATATAATTTTTAATCATATTATTATAAGAAAAGGCTATTGATTTTGTATTGCCACCATCGAGGTTTATAGAAACCCATGAAGCTACTTTAAAGGAAATGAATTTACTAAGTTCGTTGATTTATCATTGACGTTTCTCTCTAGGTGTGTGTGATATGACTTGTATGAAGATAAAAATATTTTTTAAAAAAGAATAAAATATCGCTAGGACGCAATTAAAATGAGCTTTGTTTTTCTATAATGAAAGGGAATAGATTGATTCAATTAAAATAGATCTATATGTAAAAGTTTCAAAGCTACATTGCGGGTTAAACACTTCACTAAAATAGTAAAAGGATTGCAAAAATTATTTTCAAAGATGGCGAGTCTAAGGCAAGAGGCCCGTCACACAAGAGGCTGCATATGTGAGCCACATGTGGAAAGAATGCTCGCAAAGATCTTGTGTAGTAGTGTGATGAAAAAAATTATTTATATGATTAAAAAGATGGAAATCTCTATGTGAAAATAATGGTACTTGTGCCCATATTATTGTTTGCCAACAATAAATAGAACTTGATAGTTCTTTTTAGTATGTAGGAATTATTAACTATTAATTTAACATATACCACTGATAGTTTGCGATCCATCGGTAATTTATTTGTTCTATCGGAAAGTATAGAATCTGTTACGGAGGGCATAATTGAGATCTATTAAACCCCTAGTGGGCTTACAGTGGTATCGTCCCATAGCCCATAGGAATGTGATGGTCAACACTACATTGGATCACTGTGACATATCCCTAATAAACTCATTCTCGATGGATCATTTCTAACCATAAACTATCGGCTACAACATTTCCTACAGTTTGGAATTGTCAACGGTAATTTTACCATCGGGAAAGGTTGCATGTCTGTATAAGAACGGCTAGTGATGGCTAGTTCGGATGGTGATTTCATAGGTTGCCTTTGGTCTAAAACATGGATCGTCTGTAGAAAAAAGAACATATAGAAATAAAATATTCATACCATCATCCATCTATTCTGTGTTGACTAAAGGTGCAACTGTTAGAGCAAACGGGTTAGCACATCCTGTGTACAGAAGGCATAGTTTTGTCTTCATTGATGCACCTTGTTACCTTTGGCTTTAATATATATTACTGCAAGTTTCGTTGGCCGAGTAGATATCTCAACACCTGTTTTTAATTTGCTTTCACGGTTTACAGGTTGTGTCACATAAAAAAATGGATATAAATAAAGATTATATAATAATCACAATTGACGTCTTTAGCAAAAATGCATCCTTCCTGGTTTGTTGAGTCAACTGTTCTTCTGGTTCAGTTGGAAAGACTGACTTTATAGTTAGTATACATAGGAGTATAAAGAACCCTGTTTCACTACAAATTACTCTGTGTATATGTAGTTGCAGACTTGCAGTCTTGCCGAGCTGATAACCAGCTAGCTAGACTTCCAGTTATAGCGCTGTCGCCGGGCGTCCCGGCCACAGGGAGAAAAAAAATCAGGCTGCGTATGCATGAGCAACAGCATCTCGCGCATGCAGCGGGTGAGGTGCCAGGTAGTGCGGTACCCTTACATGAGCAGCCTGGTATACTAATCAGCCTAGTGTCTCTCTATTCTATACGGGAGCATATTCTATGCACACAAGTTTCCCATGCACACTCCGTACACACCAACTAGCAAGTGTTTTGAAAAATTTTACAAAAAAAAAAAATTGGATATTTACTTCTAATAGTATTTCACATATCTTTAAAGTCTCATACTCAAATTCATTATATTTTAGCCGTAATAAAAAAGTGAAAATTCTGACAGTTTTAAGGGTAAAATTCTGTCCGAATTTTGTCTTTTTTGGTACAGCTAAAGTATAATGAATTTGAAGATAAGATTTCACACGTAGGGGTAATGCTATTGAAAGTACGTGTCAAATTTTTTTCAAGAATTTCGGTGATATTTGCTAGTTGGTGTGCACAGAGTATTCACGGAAAGCTTATGTACATAGGATATGTTCCCATTCTATATGCATGCAAGTGGTATATTTTGGTAGTTAATTGTTGATTTTATTCTCCTAAACTACTTATCATATCTATAATCTAATTACACCAATATATTTGATGCAATTAAAGCTCTACAACAAAATCAAATCTCATATGATTATATTCTGACAACAAAAATGTTTTTTCAATGCATTACTAGTGTTGCATGCAGTTTTATTTGGATGTTTCAATAATTATCTTGTGATGTTTCACTAATTTATTTGCAAATGTTGCACATATCTAGATGTTTTAGTAAATATTTTTATAATGTTTCAATAGTTATAACTTAATATTTCATAGGTGTATAAAAATCTTTTAGCAAAATCAAGTATATGCTAATATATGGAATATTTCGTATAACTTAATATTCCATGTTTCCCTCATTGAGGCTCAGGGTTTCTTCTAGAACCTGTTGGTGTTGCAATTCGTATTTTTCTTATGTCTCCATGAAACAATCCATGTTGTGAGTTTAAACATATTTGACCAATATAGTGAAACAATTTTGTATACGTGGGGAACGTCTAAACTTTTGGAACTTTTGGTATAAATATTTAAACGAATTCAATGATATAATTGGATATATAATACATCGACTATATAATTTAGAAGATAAAATCGTTTAAATTTTAATGAGATAATTAATGCATGGAAAGCAGCGAGAGAGAGGAGAGAGTCTATACATGTACTACAACATATAGGCTGAGCAAGGGCACCATTGATGCAAAGGAGGGTGTAAAAGCATGTTAGGTGTGGTCAGGCTGAAAAAAGAGTCACAGGCGCCTGATTCTTTTGCTACGGATCGGGCGCTGCCTCCGTATCGTATTGGTTAGGCAGATAAGCTAGGATGTAAATCATTTCCATTATCTAAAATAAGATCAACTTTCTAACCTGGATTTTGCAGCACGGCGGCGTGCAACGCGTTCTGTGAGTCAGGGCCTGCTGCCGATGCATCCCCACATGACAGCACCGCTCTAACAGCAGCCACTGACCTGCTCATCACCGCCAGGTAGAGCGGCGACATCCCAGAGCCATTCAGCTCCGAAGCCATGGCGGGGGCTATCGCGACCAGCTCCGAAGCCGCTTCGCCATGGCCGTGCCTCGCGGCGAGGTGCAGCGCCGTGTCCCCCGCCGAGTTCTTGCCACGCAGGATCTCCCTCAGCCTGTCCTCCTCCACGCTGTCCCGAGCGAACCGTGCGATCGCCAGGATCGCTCCGGTGTGCCCCGCCCTCGCCACGCAGTGCAGCGGCGTGTCCCCCGTCGAGTTCGCCGCGGAGAGGAGGTTGCTGTCCCGGCGGCACAGCTCGGCGATCAGATCGCAGTGCCCTTGTGCCGCGGCGACGTGGAGGAGCGTGCTCCGCTCTGCAGTCACCTCATGAATGTTGCAGGCTGCATGTTGATTGGCTGTAAAACATGTGAATATCTGTAGGCTTCATCTTTCATGATACTCCTCACGGAAAATATCACTTTTCCATGGAGAAATCTGCGTGTGAAATTCGTAAAAACAGTATGAACAGGAGAGAACTTGCATAGTTGAAGTACCAGCTGCTTGCGCGGCCGGAGTTGCCCGGATAGTCGGTGACTCGACGGCAACGCCACTGCTTTCTCCTAAGAGCCTGACGACCTCATCTGTTTGCCCGTCATATGCTGCGATGTAAAGTTCAGAGCACATGAATAGGTGGTCAGGAATCTTCTTCTTACAACCAGCATGTGTGAACTCCATTAGCTTTGTCTTGATAGTTGATACACATCCTAGTCCCTGTTAGGGTTTATAAACGAGTTAGGATGATACCTCCCCTGATTAGAATACATATATTATGAGCAGCATGTATTCTCGGTCAATGGTGATTTTCTTTAGACCGTCTGTATCATGGCATGTCATTTGTTGAATTGAATATAGAGGTGGCAGATGGTCAAATAACCTAGACTCCCACAGTAATTAACCTCAAAGGTAGTGGGGGATAAGGCTGCGGAGAACAAACTGAGATTAAGAGCTCTATATCTCCGTCGGACCGTGATGATGTCATTCCCCATACTTCCACTAGTGAGCTACACCCTGAACCATTTGTAGGATTGAACTTAAGAAGCAAGCTTATCACACGGGAGGGCGAATGGTAAAAAAACACCAAAAACCGAAATCTTTTCATGGAATAAAAAGAAACCTTCAAACCTGATCACTGATGGAGAAACCATCTTTCGTCGGTCGGCCGATTTCCACAATAGTCCCGGATGCAATAAAAACCGGGGCTAAAGATGATCTTTAGTCCCGGTTCAAAAGGGTAACGGGCATATTTGATCTTTAGTCCCGGTTTGTGTTACCAACCGGGACTAAAGATCATCTTTAGTCCTGGTTCGAATGCTGTCAGGACCTGTCAGGCCCCCCCGGGATCTTTAGTCCCGGTTGATAGGTTGGTAGCACCAACCGGGACTAAAGATCTTAACTTTAGTCCCGGTTGGTAATATACCAACCGGGACTAAAGATCCCGGTGATCTTTAACCCCGGTTGGTGCTACCAACCGAGACTAAAATCTTAACTTTAGTCCCGGTTGGTACCAACCGGGACTAATGATCCCGGTGATCTTTAGCCCCGGTTGGTGCTACCAACCGGGACTAAAGTCCCACCCCTATATATATGTCTTCTTCCTCCTCCAGCTGCCCGAGCAAGCTTCAAAATTTCTTCAAAAAAGAGGGGAGGTCATGCCAAAATTTCTATTGAATTTATTTTGGTGATTACATACAAATCGGAGGTGCCTAAAAGGTTTGCAACTTCATCCTCCAATGTTTTTTTTTTGTCATACTACATTTGCACCTATGTTTTGCACACTTTTTTTGTCTCCAAAATTTAGTTGTAAGTTGATGAGAGAGAAAATGTGTGTGGGGAAGAAAGAATATATAGAAATTTAGTTCATTTGCTAAACAAGGTTTTATAAAATAGTTGAGAAGGAAAACTCTAGTGAAAGTTAATATTAAATAATAGAAAACAAACTAAAATAAAAATTAAAAGAAGTAAAACACATTAAAATTAGTTTAAAACTTTACAAATAGTTTTTAAGAATTATTTGGTGTAATATTTTATGATTTTTGTATGAATAAAGATATCTTATAATTATTGTATGACTGTCATTATTGTAAGAATGATTATTTGTGTGCGGTTTTTTTGACTCATGTAGATGGATCGGCAATGGATGTACGCTGACCGGCGGTCCAAAGAGTTTATTGACGGCGTGCACTATTTTTTGAGAGTGGCCGAAGCTAACAGGCAAAGGGGTTTTATTTGTTGTCCATGCAATAAGTGTAAGAATCAGAAGGAGTATTCTGCATCCAGGACTATTCATTTCCACTTGTTTGAGTCGGGGTTCATGCCAAGCTATAATTGTTGGACATCCCACGGAGAGCAAGGTGTTGAAATGGAAGAAGATGAAGTGGAAGACGACAATATTCCGGACTTTGCTCAGTATGTTGGATTTGAAGGAAATCAAACGGGCGAGGAGGAAATAGCTGTTGATGGTAACGACGTTGCGGATGATCTTGGTCAGATGTTGCAGGATGCCAGGGAAGACTGCGAAAGTGAAAAGGAGGCCCATAAATTGGACAAGATGTTGGAGGACCATAGAACTTCGTTGTACCCAGGTTGCGAGCAGGGGCACAAAAAGTTGGATACCACTCTGGAGTTGTTGCAATGGAAGGCAAAAAATGGGGTTAGTGACAAGGCATTTGGCGATTTATTGAAACTCGTCAAGAACATTCTTCCGGGGGGAAACAAATTGCCCGAGACAACGTACGAGGCTAAGAAGATAGTCTGCCCGTTAGGACTGGAAGTTCATAAGATTCACGCATGTCCGAACGATTGTATCCTATATCGCGGTGAGGAGTATGAGAACCTAGAAGCATGCCCTGTTTGCAAAGCACTACGATACAAGATTAGACGGGACGATCCAGGAGAAGTTGACGGGCAGCTAACAAAGAAGAGAATTCCTGCTAAGGTGATGTGGTATTTCCCTATAATACCACGGCTAAGGCGTTTGTTCAGGAACAAGGGGAATGCTAGAATGTTGCGATGGCACGCTGAAGAGCGTCAACAGGACGGGATGCTGAGACACCCCGCCGATGGTTCGCAGTGGCGAAACGTCGACAGAAAATTTAAAGAATTTGGAAAGGACGCACGAAACATACGGTTTGGTTTGAGTACGGATGGCATGAATCCTTTTGGAGAGATGAGCAGCGGCCATAGCACTTGGCCCGTTACGATGTGTATCTACAACCTCCCCCCCTGGCTATGCATGAAGAGGAAGTACATAATGATGCCGATTATTATTCAAGGCCCCAAGCAACCTGGTAACGACATCGACGTGTACCTAAGACCACTGGTCGAAGATCTTAAACAGTTGTGGAAGAAGGAAGGTGTCCCCGTGTGGGACGAGGACAAACAGGAGGAGTTTAACCTACGAGCGCTGCTGTTCGTAACCATCAACGATTGGCCTGCACTTAGCAACCTATCCGGACAGTCCAACAAGGGGTACAAGGCTTGCACTCACTGTATGGATGAAACAGAAAGTACGTATCTTAAGCACTGTAGGAAGGTTGTATACATGGGTCATCGTCGATTCCTTGCAGCAAACCACCCGGTACGGAAGAAAGGCAAGCACTTCGAACATAAGGCCGACCACCGTACGAAGCCTAAACATCGCAGCGGGAAAACAGTGTTTGCTATGGTTAAAGATCTTAAAGTAGTGTTCGGAAAGGGGCCTGGAAGCCAGCATATAGAGAGCGAAGATGGTCACGCGGCGATGTGGAAAAAGAACTCTATATTTTGGGAGTTACCATATTGGGAATTCTTGGACGTACGCCACGCAATCGACGTGATGCACCTCACTAAGAACCTTTGCGTAAACCTTCTTGGCTTCCTAGGTGTATACGGAAAGTCGAAAGATACACTGGAAGCACGTAATGATCTGAAGCATATGGAACAACGCGGCGACCTTCACCCGGAACCAAAGGAGAAAGGAAGCCATTACTTGAGTCCAGCCAGCTACACTCTTAGCAAGGCAGAGAAGGAAAGTATGTTTGAATGCTTGGAGAGCATAAAGGTACCGTCTGGATACTCCACGAATATCAAGCGAATAATAAGCACGAAGGAGAAGAAGTTCACAAACCTAAAGTCTCATGACTGTCACGTGTTGATGACACAACTGCTACCAGTTGTAATAAGGGGTATCCTTCCAGACAATGTCCGGACAACAATAACAAAGCTATGTGCATTCATGAACGCAATTTCGCAGAAGGTCATCGATCCGGATAGATTAGAAGCCCTTCAGAATGAAGTGGTGCAATGTCTCGTCAGTTTTGAGTTGATATTTCCACCTTCATTTTTCAATATAATGACGCATCTGCTTTGTCACCTTGTGAAAGAGATCCGTATTCTCGGGCTTATGTACCTACACAACATGTTTCCTTTCGAGAGGTACATGGGCGTTCTGAAGAAGTATGTTCGTAACCGTGCTCGTCCAGAGGCAAGCATCGCCAAGGGTTATGGAACAGAGGAGGTCATCGAATTTTGCGTAGAATTTATCGAAGACCTTCGCCCAATCGGGGTACCTGAATCACGCCATGAAGGGAGACTACGGGGAAAGGGAACTCTCGGAAGGAAAGCAATAACGACGGTAGACAACAATTTATTCCGTAAAGCCCATTTCACTGTTCTGCAACACTCTTCATTGGTAGCTCCTTACATCGAGGAGCACTTGGCTCTAGTTCGCGCAAGGAACATCGGTAAGTCCGATGCATGGATTACACGACATCACATTGATACTTTCCCCGCGTGGCTACGACAACATCTCATGGGTAACGAGTCGATCAACCAACAACTTGCCTTCCTGGCGAGGGGACCGTCTGGGTCGATCGCGACATTCCAGGGATATGAGATCAATGGGTACACATTCTACACGAGAGCCCAAGACATGAAGAGCACGAACCAAAACAGCGCTGTTCGTGTCGATGTCATGGGACACGATGGAACAACTGTCACGTATTACGGTGCCATCGAGGACATATGGGAACTTGACTATGGTCCTCTCAAGGTTCCTCTGTTCCGGTGCCAATGGGTTAGGTTGACTGGTGGAGGCGTAATGATTGATGACAGTAGGATGACAACTGTTGACCTTAACAAGGTTGGATACTCGGACGAACCTTTTGTCCTTGCCAATGATGTAACGCAAGTCTTTTTCGTGAAGGACATGTCTAGCAAAGGAAAGAAGGGCAGAGGGCCTGATGAGCCTAAGCGTCAAGTGGTTCTCCCAGGCAAAAGAAAAATCGTCGGAGTTGAGGACAAGACTGACGAGGATTACGATCAGTTGGATGGGCAACCCCCATTCACGGTGACGATTGACCCTAGCATCCTCCTATCAAATGAAGACACCCCTTACTCACGCAGCGATCACAAGGAGGGAACAATAGTGAGGAGAAAGTACGTGCCGTAATTATTGTGTACACGATGTAAACTATTTTGGATGTATTGATTATCCATATAAATCAATTGATGTATGGCATATGTTAATTACGCACGATTATTAGAGGTTTCAACAAGTTTAAATCATGTATATGCTAGTTATATGTGATACTTACAATTTTTAAAAGTTTTAAATCACAGGTGGCAATTTCATATGTATGTTAATTAGAGTTTTTAACATTTAATTTACTAGCATTCATATGCTAATTATAATTGACTAGAGGATTTTTAAAAGTTTTAAATCACGCAAGTGGCAATTTCATATGTTAATTGGAGTTTTTAACATTTAATTTACTATCATTCATATGCTAATTATAATTGACTGGAGAATTTTTAAAAGTATTAAATTTAATATATTTTTAAAACTATCATTCATATATTAGAGTTTTTCACAATTTAATTTACTATCTTTCATATGCTACTTATATATGACTATTCGAATTTTTAAAAGGTTAAAATCATGCATGTGGCATTTACATATGTTAATTAGAGTTTTTAGCATTTAATTTAATATAATTCCTACGCTAAGTACATATGATGGTTACAATTTTTATTAATTTTAAATCATGCAGTATGTACATACATATCTTAATTAGAGTTTTTACCAATATAATAATATCATTCATATATATGCTAAGTATATATGATTATTGGAATTTTTATTAATTATATTTGCTTATTACGATTTATCCACTTAATTTATTACAGACAAAAATAATTTTTCGAAGTAATTGTCATCAATCTTTGTACTTTAAATAATGTTAATGCATTAACTTCTATTTTATAAACACATATGTAAGCGAAAATCATATGCAGTGCTATAATCTTTAGTCCCGGTTCTTAACCCTAACCGGGTTTAAAAAGAATTTCGAAATAGCGGGAAAAGATATTTACTCCCGGTTGTTGAGAACAACCGGGACTAAAGATCTTTTCTTTACTCCCGGTTGTTCTCAACAACCGGGACTAAAGATATCAAGATATCTTTAGTCCCGGTTGTTCTCAACAACCGGGAGTAAAGATCCAGGGGTATATATATTCCTGGTGCGCCCTCGTCTTCTTCACCAACACTTAAACGTTTTCGGCCGATCGATCTCTCTCGGCCTCTCTCCTTCGCTGCCACTGCCTAGGGCAAATCCCCGCGCCGACGCCGCCGTATCTCGCCGTCGTCTCGAGCTCGTCGTCCTCGCCGCCGCCTCCGCCTCCTCCGCTGCCGCCGCATCTCTGGGGTGAGAGCCGCCGCATCTCCCTTCATGCATCTCGATCTCTCCGATCTCGATCTCTCTCCGTCGCCTTCGACGCCGCCGCCTTCGACGCCGCGCAACGCCGCCGCCGCATGCCAACGCCACGCCGCCGCCGCCGTCGCCACGCCGCCGCCGCCTTCGCCGCCGCGCGCGCAATGCCGCCGCCGCCACGCCACGCCATGCCACCGCCGCCACGCCACGCCGCCGCCGCCACGGCCCCACAACGCCACGCCGCCGTCGCCACGCCGCCGCGCCAACCGCCGCCCCGATGCCGCCACACCGCCGTTAACGAACGAGAACGAGAACGATCGAACGAACGAGAGCGAGAACGAACACGTCAACGTACGTTGCCGCGACAACGTGAACGAGAACGAGAACGATCGAACGAACGTGAACGAGCTAGGGAACGTGAACGAGCGAACGAACGAGGACGAACGTTAACGTGAAATGCAATATATATATATATACATGTATATATATATATATGTTACTTCGCATTTATCCTAATACATTTTTTTTATTTTGCAGAAAAGACGTGTTGTCGGAGTCGTCCGTCAAGCCTGAGTGGAAGAGCTAGCCCTAGAAGGAATTGGAGCAGGCAAGTGACGTAATAATATAAATGATTGTTATATTTGTAATGCAATTAATTAAGATTATTAGACCTGTAATTAGACTTATCATATAAGATTGTGTAGTGTTCTAATATTATTTGAGTTTTAATATAAGATTATTTTATTGCAAATTAGACTTAGTATGACATTATTGACTACGGAATTGGTGCGACTCCTAGGAATTGACTATTGTAGTCTTAATTAGACTTAGCATATACGCACGAAACACTTAGCATACATTACTATTTTAGTCTTAGCATGTAATATTATTTGAGTTTTAATATAATATTACTTTATTTGTAATTAGACTTGGTATGTAATTATTGACTACGGAATTGGTGCGACAAGTAGCAATTGACTATTGTAGTCTTAATTAGACTTAGCATATACGCACGAAACACTTAGCATATACATGACTATTTTAGTATTAGCATGTAATATTATTTGAGTTTTAATATAAGATTATTTTATTTGTAATTAGACTTAGTATATAATTATTTACTAGCTAGGGTTGTATAATATACGTCACCTAGACTTAGCTTATATCACGATTTGTAATTAGACTTAGCACGTAAGGTTGTGTAGGGTTCTAATGTACGACATTTACACTTAGCATACATGACTTAGATTGTTAAAACATAAATGTCTCGTGACTTAGCAGATGTTTCTTGTATCAACAGATGGCTGACCGCGATGAGGAACAGATATTGTACGATACAATCGCGGAGGGAAGCAGCCAGTACTGGAATGAAGAAGAGGGGAACGAGGATCCAAACCAGTACTTGAACGAGGAAGGGAACGTGGAGAGGGATGCGGAGGGGAACCAGCAGGGGCACGTGGAAAGGGATGTGGAGGGGAACCAGGAGGAGGAGGCTAGTGGTAGTTAACCCTCCGTTGGACAGAAGAGGGCACGCGGGCAACGAGGTGCAGCGAAGAAGCTTGAGGGTCGGCACATCATAACGGAAGTGGAAGAAGATGGACGTCCTAGTGCCCCGGCCGAAGCCGCCAAGAACTATGTACGTCACAGCGGTTGGGTTGTGCGGGATAACGTGCCTGTCAGTACGGTGTACTGGCGAAGAACAAGGGCACGCGGAGATCATGAGAGCTTTGTCCCAGATTCGGAGAAAGAGATGCTGTGGACCACAATGCTCGAGACATTCACCCTTCCTGCGGGTACAGAGGACAAAGTGAAAAGGTGGACTCTGAAGAAAATGGCAGAACAGTTTCAGAGCTTCAAGGGAGATCTGTACCAGAAGTATATACTGAAGGGGCAGACACCGAACTTCGACACATTCCCAAAGCTAAGGGATCACTGGGACGAGTTCGTTGCATATAAGACAGGTGAACAAGGGAAGGCGATGATGGAAAGAAACAAAGAAAATGCCGCCAAGAAGAAGTACCATCACCACTTGGGGTCAGGAGGCTATAGCGTTGCGATGCCGAAGTGGGAGCAGATGGAGGCTAGCTTGATTGAGAGGGGTATCGAACCAGCAACAGCCAATTGGCCGGAACGATCGAAGTTCTGGTACTATGCTCACGGTGGAACGCTCAACCCAGCTGATGGCTCACTGGTCTTCGGCTATCAGATACAAGAGGCTGCGCGACGACTAACAGATGCAGTGGAAGCCTCCTCTCAGGGCACGTTCCGACCAGACAGAGATAGGGACGAGCTGACACTCGCCCTGCAGACTCCAGAGCATCCAGGACGAACTCGAGGGAAAGGGGTGATTCCTTGGAAGATTGGTTTCAAGGAGGACATCCACACGTACAGGAGTTGGATGAGGAGCAAGAGAGATACCGAGGCGAAGATTGCAGACCTAGAGTTCCGGGTATCGAGCTACGAACTCAACATGCAAGAGGAGGTGGCAAGGAAGGTTGATGAACGCATGGCCGCACATCGGTCCCATGATCCCCAGCCGACCATTCCTCCTGCAATGGTGAGCCCGTCAGGAAACCGTAGCAGCTGCGCCTCAACGGGGCAGGTAGGATCACAGAGCATGGACGCCATGCAAACACAGGATGAATCGACCTGTCCCGTTGATGACATCACTCAGCGGACACCATGTGAGCTGCATATTCCTTTCAAGAACTTATCAATAAAGGTAAGATTTAGCCATTCCGCTAGTTGCTGCTTATATATGTTGATTACTAATAAATAATCTCTCACAACATGAAGGTGGCGTCGGGCATGGCCATCCCAACGGACCCTTCAGGTACTTACCACTGCAGGCCGATTCCAGCAGGATACTCCAAGGTCGAAGTTGAGTTGGTCGAAGGCGCGTACGAGGACCTCGAGCTGGATTACCCTGGAGGAGACGGTGAGACGCATCTACGAGACACATGCCATGCCATTATTCTATGGCGCAGGCGGTACATCATCCTCCCTGGGCGACAAGCGGCGTCTCGTGCACCATCTCCTCCGGCTCCGCCATCTCCTCCTCAGGATCCTGCACCGTCTCCTCTTCATGCTCCGCCAGCACCGTCTCCACCTCAGGCTCCAGCATCGACTCCTCAGGATCCTGCACCGACTCCTCCTCGTGCTCCTACACCTACTCCCCCGCAAGCTCCTCTTCCGGCACCTTCAAAGTCAAGGGCCCCCACAGCTCCACCGCTTGCCCACACAAGGGCAACAAAGAAGGCGAAAGTTGACGCCGCCAAGAACAAGGACCCGGGGTACGATTGCACGCAAGAGGAGCTTGACGCTTACGTTGCATCAGAAGTCAAGAGACAATTCAAGCCTCGAAGTCCAGAAAAGAAGATTCCTATAGACCCCAGTGTCAGGAACTTCTTCAGGGGTATGTCTGCATCTGTCAAGGAGGCCATCAAGCTATCGGACTATGAGCGAACGCTGAAGAAAGCATCTTCTGGAAAGTCCAAACCAGTCCATCAGCTTGGAGAGCAACCAAACCAGGAGATCGAGCCGTTGGTGACCGGTAAAGAAATGACGATAGAACAATTTATTACTGACACCGGTCTAACTACGGATCAATTGCTAGGAGTCGCACCAATCGAAAAGGCGGAAGTGAAATACATGTATGAACTCGGTAAACCGCTTGTCAAGCCTGAGCTGCTGCAGTCCCTACCCACACAAATGTACAAGTTCCATCAGCTGTACATGGAGATGAGCGCCACCGGTAGAGAGATGATCGGAGTGAGGATCAGGGACACGGACTTCTTGCAAGGAGATGACATTCTCTAGATCAATTTCAGGGGAATCTACGAACTATACCAGCTGGACGCCCTCGACGTCTCTATTATGAGTTGCTGGATTTTGTAAGTATATCGTTCAGTTAGATTTCTTACTATACGTCTCCTTTAATTAATTAGGTCCTTGTATATAAGTAGACCATAGAAAATAATATACTCCCTTTTATCGTTGTAGAATGGAGATTCAAAGGGCCCGACGGCGGAGGGTTTTCGATACTGGATTCATCGACCCTCGGAAAGTAAACGTCGCAATGCTCGACCAATATCCACAAGAAACAGAGGACAATCTCGTCCATCTCCTGAAGGCGCAGCATTACAAGACGTTCATACTGTTGCCATACAACACAGAGTTAGTTTAATTTTACTGTCTTCCTACATACCAAATTTCATTCCCGTACGAACTTGCTAAGTGTTTCATATGTAATGCATCCCACGCACATTGCAGATTCCACTGGGTGCTTTTACTCATCGACCTGGAGGCCTGCACCGTCAACGTATATGACTCAATGGATAAAAAAGAGTCTACGTTTGACAAGGTTTTCGAACTTATAGACAGGTACCGTCATAAGTTCCTTTGTTAATTAAGAAAATCTTGTTATGTTAATTGCTACTACGAATCATAGCTTTAAACTCCATGTAGGGCTTGGTATCGGTTCCGTCATTTGGTCCGCGGCAAATGGAGAGAAAGACTTAGGCGGAAGTTCAAATTTCCTGTGAGTACACATGCTCTACATTTATATTTCTCCGATTCAAATACATACAAGTGTATATTAATTAGATCTCTCGTTGTTTGTCATTTATTTTTAGTGCGCAAAGCAAAAGCAGGGAACTAACTTGTGCGGCTATTACGTGTGCGAGTATTGCCACTGCCTTGCAGACCAAATCATCACCACAAGAGAGCTCGATGTACGTACAAATAAATTCAAAATTTCATTACGTAGCGATTTCTTGTTTAATTACTAATCAATTTCATACATTCATATAGTTTATTCGCATGAGGGATAACCTGACCACACACAAGGAATTTATCGCGACGGTTCAAGAACAACTCATGGGATTCATCAACGAAGAAATCCTTGATCCCAAGGGTGAATTCTACTACGACGGAAACACAATTCACCGGTCCTTAGCTTCTGAACTAGCAGCGAGTACTACTACGTCGAAATCGTAGCTAGCTAGGACATATAATGGATTGTAATTAATACATGACTACATATGTTTCTATATGCATGTGTACACATTTTCTATAATGTAAATATATTTTGTTCATATATATATCTATATACATATGCATTTGCATAACATATATATGTATAAATACATATATATATGTATGCATATATATGTATTGAAACATATATATGCATGGTTTTTATATATATATATATATATATATATATATATATATATAGTAAATTTGTTTGGTGCTCCATGGTGCCTGGGCTCCATTGTTGAAATTGAGTATATACCCAATTCAAATGAGTATGAAACTTTTTCAATTACTTAAGTATTAACATTAACTACTTTACTAACTAGTTTAAAGCAAGTTTGAACTGAATTTGAACTTGTTTTTGTTAGATTTTGATTCTAGGTATATAGCATCCATACATATAATTAGTTAGGTATGTAATCATGGATTGTGAAATAAAGTTAGATTTGAGTTGTTTGTTGATAAGTATAGGTATGAATCAAATTATTATAACTAGGTATATACTCACAATTTGAAAAATTTGAAAAATTTGAGTGATTTTGTGCATTAGATACCATGGTGCCCGGGCACCATGGTGCCCCATATGAGTGTCCTATATATATATATATATATATATATATATATATATATATATATATATATAAACCATGCAGCAACAGGGGCATGCAAAAAAAAAAAAGGTCAGCTCTATCTTTAGTCCCGGTTGGTAACACCAACCGGGACTAAAGATCGATTTTTACTCCCGGTTATTTCACCCGGGACTAAAGATAGCGATCTTTAGTCCCGGATTGGTACTCCCGGTTTGGAAACCGGGACTAAAGGGGGGTTACGAACCGGGACTACAAAGGGTTTCTCCACCAGTGGATGGTATCCGGCATGACAGGTGTGTATATGCCGATCTGACTGTGTTAATACAAACCGAAGAATTCTTGAAAGTAAATCAATTTTATTGCTTCCAACTGTGTTTATACAAAATGCAACAACAACACTCTCCTCTTAATTTTTGAACTCAAATCAAAACCTAAGCCAAAAGCATATTTTTTTCAAAAATATATCCACTACTTATTCAACTTTACTTTTTATTTCTGGTGATAAAGAAGAGTTGTGTGGTGCTTCACTTATATCTATGCCACAACTAGTGAATGAACATATTAATTCTATAATTGAATCACCATGTATTGAGTTTAAACATGCTATTCACATTGCTAGCGAGAATGAAAATCTTAGAATGTTTACTTCTTTAAATATTTGGGGTTATATTTTCAATTTGATGATCTTTGTCTACTCAACTGTTTAGAGAAAAAAATATTATTTGCTAGATTTGAATTGCCATGTCCTTCTCACGTAGAATTTTATGTGATTGGCAATTATGATAATAAAGGGAAGTATAATGTGCATAAAGGATTGCCTGTGTATATCTAATTCTCTATCTAGTTTCTCTAGTTGTTTAAGTGATTTACAGGTTGGTTTGTAAGAACGGAAGTGTTGTGGTTTTCCAAGTTTTATAATTTCAGAATCCAACCATATGATCAACAAGAAGACTACCTAACCCTATATTGTGATAGACAAAATAAGTTCAATAGGCTCAATAACAAGGTGAAACCAAGGACGGTTTCGAATCGAGAAGGGGAGGATGATGAGGACATCACTAACTCGGATATATGCATGCTTATGTTATAAATCAACAAGCTAAATGTGCATATGTTCTACATTATATTTGTTTATTATATGTTTGAACAAACGTTACTGCACCAAGAATTTTGTTTTTTTTTGTTTGTCGTAATACTTGTGCGGATGAAGGAAAGGAGTGTGGGCTCACAAAATGTTTGGATGATCCATCAAGTTGATTGGGACCAATACAAACATTCCCCAAGTCTACTCCAACATCACCACGCCTTCTTTTCTCTAGGGATGAGAACAGAGCAGATACAGACGGATAATGCTCATACCATATTCGTTTTCATATTTTTTTACCGGATACGAAAACGAATACGGATAGCTAGAGTACGGAAACAAATACGGATTATCTCTAATACGAATAAGAATCGAATATGATCGGGCACGAATACAGAAACATTATTTTCTCGGAAAACGAAAACAAACTCAACTTCTAATAGAAACAAATATCAACATATATAATTAGCTCATTTTATATAAAATGAAGTATAATTTATAAATATTTTTTAAAATTTAAATAATATTAATAGTATGGACTAGTGTTAAGAGATAAACTACTATTAAAATCTATAAATGTATATTGAAGGTTATAGAGTTAGAAAGAAATGGGGTATGTCTCATAGCTTCTGCGGATATCTGAATAATACTGTTCACCGGATATCCGAATTATTATCCGTATCCGACGGAAACCCTGATACCATATCCGTATTCGTATCCATATCCGAACTATCAGAGATTATCTGATCCGAAAGGTATCAATATCCGTTTTTGTCCGGAGCAGATGGAAACTATCCGCTCCGTTGTCATCCCTACTGCCCATGCGTTGCGTCGGAGCTACCCGCGGGCTGCCCATAACCTCTGTTGTGGCCTTCCCACACGCTGGTCCCGGAACTGCTCCTTAGCTGTGGCCCTGCGCTGGAGACGGCAGAACGAGCTAGATGGGGTTGGAGACTTGGAGGTGGGTAAGTTATTTTGCCAGGGGTACAATAGTCCCTTTGTATTTTGTAAATACTTTTTTCTTTTGTTTAATCTCATAAATTTGGGTCCACCTAACTGCCATCTAAAATATGGGCAAACTAAAGTTTCGTTTGAAAAAAGTAAGGAAAAAACATAAACCCTAAAAACGAAGGGTAAAATCACAATTGCAACACAAAGTAGAGGTAAGAACACAATTGCTCTCCTTGCATAATTCATAAGAAATGTATACATTACCAAATTGGATCATCTGGCCATAAATGATAAAAATAATATATACCTTCCACATTGACCCTTGCATTATATCGATCATTTACGTCAAAAAAAAATTATATCGATCACAAGCAACTACTTTTTAAGAACTATCAACCATCTCAAACCATTGGAAAATTTCAAGCTCAAAACCCTGAAACTCTATCTAAAATAGCGCATGGGGGATAAAATGGTAGTATATAAGGTTGCAGGTTTCCTTACTGTGAAAGGAGGTGTAATTTTTTGCACTGTTGCTTCTCCTTGACGATAACCATCACGGGTCCCCGATAGCAACCGCCCACCATGGTGTTTTCCTCGAGTGCCCCCTCCAGCCTTGGGGCAGCAGGTTTGTGCCTTCTGCAGGTGCTACCCATCCTCAACATGGCATCTATGCCATTCTCTTCAATGTTGGCGGCGGCAAGGCAGCTTTTTCTGTTGCTGCTCCCTTGATCTGGAGGAGCAGTGAGCCAGTGACACAGGATGAAAACTAAAAGATGCGTCTAAGTATTAGAGCAAATAGCAGAGACAATAAAGATTACATACACAGGAGAATTACTGTAGTACACTAACTTCACCCACGCACTTGCTCGACTTCAGCCCACAGCTCATTGACTTGCTTAGGCATGCAGTTGTTGCCCCCCTAGCTAACTCCTCGCTTTGCTCATACAAGTATTGCTTCTGGAGAAAATTTTGTGAGGTCTTAAAGATACCTACAGATCCACAACAAGCTACCTTTAAACGCAGCTCAATCTATAACTTTAGTGAAACTAAGGTTTCACTTATTGGCATCAAATTTAAACTAAGCCCGAGGAAAAACCCAGCGAAGTGGGCTTTACCTCCATTCCTTGGTAACTAACAAAGCAATCTTGACAAAAAAAATATATAATTTTAATCCCTTTAAATTCCAACCCTCTTAGCTACACTGTAATTATTATATACATGCTTAAAACATCATAGGAAATGAAACATAAATATCAATTCTGCTTGTCCTGCAAATTATTAGTAGTAGATCTTCCTAGTGACTCTCATAGTCTCCTTATCCTGAAAATCAGGAGCATATCACTACTTCATTAGCAGTCAAGGACATCATTTCAGATTCATAAATGAATGAGAACATGTTAGCAGGGAATAGTTAATATTATCAACAGAGTATATAGCCACATATAAATTACTAATATTAGTACATCTCAAAAGCAAATATATATGTTATTGACATCAATATCCAATGAAGTAAAATTCATAACCAATTTTCTGATAAGTGATGCACTGCCTATGTACCTTTTCATTCTCTCTGACAAGGCTGCACAAAAGCTCAGCCCTAATTGCACTCATGAGAAAAGGGCAGGGTAACCGAAACTAGAAGCACTAACAAACAATATCCTTATTTGTTAAAAGATCAGAAAGTAAATTATACTCACAATAATAGTTCAGTTCTTTAGTAATTTACCTCCAAGATTCAATCCAACTGCATTTCACAATGTTGTTAAGGATTAATTTCTCCCGGCCCTTAGATCTTAGATCTAAGTATAACTAATTACTTAGATCTTACCAAGTAGTACCATGTGGGTTCCACATGTGATTGTCACGCAAAAATAAGATTGCAAAATCGGCCAACATTGATTATATTTGAGTACAAAGAAATAAAATATCCAATGTTCTACAGTTATATTATATATAGCCTATAGGCAGGGTCGGAAATTTCGGACCGAAATTTCCGAAATTTCGGCCGTTTCGGTGGGTCCCGATAGTAAGTGCGTTCCGGTCAAATATTTCGGCCAAAAAAAATTCGACGGGAATTTCTCACCAAACCCTAAAGTCGCTGTTCGCTCTCCCCCTCCGCCTCACCTCATTGCGCCGCCACACAGAAACCGCATCAGATCGAAAAAAATCGCCACTCGCCAGTCGCCGCCTCCGCGCCTCGACGCCGGTCGCTGCCTCGCCACCTTGATCCAGTCCACCGCCGGCGCTGCACACCCGCCTCCAAGCCGTCGCACCGTTGCCCCCAGCCTCCCCAGCCGTCGCCCGCTTCTCTGCGCCCCGAGCCATTGCCTGCTGGTCGGCGTCGCCCCTAGCCGTCGCCTGCTGGTAGCCATGGCACTGGGACTGGGGAAGCAACAGGGAGTAGAGGTAAAAAAAAAATCCTATTTCTGCCATTGGGACATTAAGAACTGATGTGCTGCTATATTTGTGGACATTATGAATTGATATGCCGTGGAAATTTGTATCTGTCAGTGGGTGTGTTCGGCTGATGTCAGACTTTGAACCTACATTTTAGCATCTGTTAGTGCGTTTGTTTGGCTTTATTTTGTGAATTTGTGATGCAGCATATGCCTGCCGAACAGAACTTTTGTTGCTTTCTGTTTTTGTTCATTTTTTTGGAAATTTCGCCCGAAATTTTTAAATTTGAATTCAAAATTTTTAAAAAAATTTCGTCCGAAATTTCCCCGAAATTTCCGAAATTTCAGAATTTCAGTGACCCCGATACAAATCAGTGTTCCGATAGGTTGAACCCTGCCTATAGGGGCAGGCATGGCATAGTTAATTAATATCTTTTCCTATTAAGTTATCAGAAAATTTAACAAAAGAATAATGGATTATGCATCAATTAAAAAGAACTCAAAGTCAGCTGTTACCTTACCTGAAATATGAATTGGAAAGTAAATCAAGCACTTCTTCTTGTTGGTTTACCTGTAAAATATAGGCTTCTGTCAATTATTCAACCGATGTGTCCTGTGCTCTCACAACAAGCACGAGCTGAACTCAAATCTTACAGATCATCAATCCAAAATACTTACCGCATCTTATAGGCACATCGATAGATATGTTGATCGGTTGATTTCAATTGGCGAGATTATTGCCTGCTTGCTCTAAAATCAGGTTGGAAGTTGAAAGCTGAATCAAGCATTTGTGCAGCTGGCTCGTGGTAGACTGAACAACGATGGCCATTGTCTTCACTCTGCAACTCTGCATGCAAGCCGCATCCATGGTGTTCACTCTGCAACATGCGCCTGCGAACAAAAATAGGCCGATAATGCTTGCTGCAGTGCTGTTTAGCCCTAAGCACTCAACTAAAACCTGGGGAAATTCCACCTAGAAAGTAAAGTAGATTTGAAACAGCACGAGGAAAAAGGCCTGAACACCGATCAAGTAACAGGAAAAAAGAAAATCAAACAGAATAAAGGGAGTACTCTTAGATCAGATTGGCATGGCGACTTGGCGAGTGGAGGCGGCTGCAATCGCACATACGGAGCTCGGGGTAGTGACGCACTTGCGTGTGATGCAATGCATATGGCGCCAACCCTCCTCCTCTCTCAAGGACTGCACGACCACATCTGGCCGGCCCTCCAAGTAGGCAGCGACCTCAGAGAAAGTGGGACCAACGCAAGGGTTACCAGCGGTGGGTCAGTGAAGCGCGGCGGCGCGGGGGAGCAGGAGGAAGGGCGGAAGCGGCAGTGGGCCAGTGGCAGACATTTTGGCAGGTCTAAATGTACAAGCACATCATGTTAGTTTGTTCTTCTTTCTGTTCGATTTCAGATTATGCGAAGGAAGAAATGGACTGGGAGCGGAAGGCTTTACCGGCGTGATCTAACACGATGCCTCGATAGAGGAATTCTTTGATTCCAGCTGGCTGCTGCAATAAAATCAGAGCATGAGATGCGCAAGAAGTGGCGATAGAAATGAAGACCTGGGTGGTTATTCAGATAAAGAATAGGAAGCCGAAAGCAATGGAGGAGGCCGCCTTAGCCGGCGAAGTGAAGAATGTGCAGCACTGCGTGCCCGCCGATCCGGACGTGATGGAGGAGCGGGAGGCCTCGCCCCCGGCCGTCTTGGCAAACGTTCTGCGGCGGCGGGGTGACCGACTGTTGCTCATCCTGCAACCTCCTATTGCTGCTTTGGTCGCCGGATTTTTGCCGAGAAGACGAACGGCGGTGAGGGGGTGGCACCACCCGTGAGAGAAAACTGCTTGGCCGCCGCGGACCGCGGAGAATATGCACTCCCAAACGTGGATGTGGGCGGAGCCGGGGGCGCAGCGAGGAGGAGGAGGGTATGGCGACGCTGCGGGGAGGGAGGCACGGGGGTGCGGTGGGGGGAGGAAGAAGGGGCTAGGGCCCCCAGGGAGGGAGGCGGCGCGGTGGATGCGGGCGAGCAGGGGCGACGGGGCGGCGACGACGACGATGGGGAGGCGGTGCGGCATGGAGGAACGGGGAAAGGGAGGCAGTTTTTTCGCGAAAAATGGGAGGCAGAGCGCGTGGGAGGATCGTCCGATGAATTTCGTTCGTTGGATCTCAAGGTTGAGTTTTATTTTTCCACAACGAAATCTATTTGAGCAGGACTAGCCGGGGCCGTTTTCCCTGGAAAGGTTTACCCCGAGTCCTATTCCGCTCCGCTTCCATCGATCTACTGCGGGGGCGCCTGATGGGCGATCGATCGCTCAGCGAGCGATCCAGCGATCGGTCCCGCCCCCTCCTTTCTCCCCTTCCTCCTCCCCTTCTTTTCCTATTACATTACACCACACAAAATTTTTTTAAAAAAAACAAAAAGTTAGAAAAATTTATGTATAAAAAATTTGAATTCAAATTTAAATTTGAATCGGGTACGTAAACTTTTGACTTATAAACTTTGGATCTATAAACTTTAGGTCTATAAACTTTATGTGTATAAACTTTAGAGGTATAGAAATACTATATATGAAAAATATTTGAATTTAAATTCAAATTTAAATCGGAAATTTGAATTCAAATTCAAATTTGAATCAGATATAATTCAAATTCAAATTTGAAATCGGGTATAATTCAAATTCAAATTTGAAATCAGGTATATAAACTTTAGGTGTATAAACTTTAAATGTATAGAAATACTATATATGAAAAATATTTGAATTCAAATTCAAATTTGAATAGGACATAGTCCAAATTTAAATTTGAATCGGATATATAAACTTTAGGTCTATAAACTTTAGGTGTATAAACTTTGGATGTATAGAAATACTATATATAAAAAGCATTTGAATTCAAAGTCTCTAAACTTTAGATGTGTAAACTTAAGGTGTATAAACTTCAGGTGTATAAATTTATTAAAATAGAAAAGTAATGCGGTGCCAAAAAAAGAAACTAGGTGGAGAGGGGGAGAGGGAGGGAACCGATCGCTCTGGGCGATCGCTCGCCCAGTAGCATTTCTGATGTACTGCCAGTCTGCCCAATTTAATCTTCAGTAGATGGATTCGGCACAGACAAAATCGAAATCAAGTAAAGATTTCCTCCATGGCGTCATCGTCGAGCCATGGCCTGGTGCTGCCGTGCCTTGCGGTAGAGTGCAGCTGTTCAGACCCAACACTACGTTCGTCAGCGCCGCGGAGAAGAAGCTCGTCGCTGCCGCTGCCGGCTTGCCGTCGGAACTGCTTGACGTCAAGGCCACCGTCTGCCCGACTTCGCTGGGGTGGATCCTCGTCCGCGAATCCGCGAGCGGTAGCACCTACCTTCTCGATCCTCAGTCTCGTCAGGACAAGATCCCGCTGCCGCCCCTCACCAGGATCGACGACGACGTGCTCATGGACTGCAACTGTCTCCTCTCCGACCAGCCCACCGCTTCGGCCGCTGCCGGCTGCGTTGTGCTCCTAGTGGAGCCCCAGGACACCGTCATCTGGTACCACCACATCGGCGCCGGCGGAGAGTGGACAAGGCATGAATACGACATCGGAATCCAGAGTGATAAGTATGGCTTCACTGAAAAGATACATATTGTCCCGATCGCAGCATGCCGTGGCAAGTTCTACTTCAACAGCTTCTTCACCGAGATCAGCGTTGTCGAAACAAGATTTCGGCAATACTAAAAGGGGGTGGCTATCAAGCTAAAAAAGTGGATGGGTTTGGAGACAAAGGATTTATACAGGTTCAGGCCTTCTTATTCAAGAAGTAATACCCTACTCCTGTCCGGGGATGAATCCGCCGAGTGTATTATTGGATGTATGATCTCCAAGAGAATTGTGTGTCCCAAGAAGGACTCGGACCCCTCCTTATATAGGGGAAGGAGTCCGTATTACAAGGTATAACTCATATCCCTAACGGAATACGAAAATACAGATAAAATACAATCGTAACCGACTAAACCTCAGGGTATTTCCTTGACGTACAAGTTAAGAAACAAACCCGAGATACAAATAAAGATATTCTATCTATATTCGGCATCCTATATCCAGTCTAAATATAACCGCCGTGTAGATATGGGGTATCCATAATCTCCACAGTAGCCCCCGAGACCTTTGCAGTCGACAACATAGCTCTCTCAAAAATAATAATCCGAGTGCTTTAATTTTTCTTGCTAAGGGCTGCCGAGTAGCAAAACGAAGACTGTAAAGGGCGAAAAATAAAAAACATGGTGCATCGAATAGATGCACCTAATTAGGTGTAGCCCCCGACTATATGATTAGTTAAAACAAACTAAACATGTAGTCAATAACAAAATAATTGCACAATCAAGCATCATATGGCAAAAGCACATGCGGCGTCCAACAAGACATTCAGCCGACTGCTTTCTAGCCATAGTAAAAAGAATCCGAGTGAATAACACTCTAAAAGGTTCACAAATGAACATATTCGACAGGCATCCGAGTAAAAACTCTCAAGATGATCCATCAAATGTTATAAAAATTATGGTAATTAATAAGTCTAATAGCTTAGGCTATGACTCTCACCATAATTAAAATAGGCATATAACACGCCAAGAGAATGACCATTGTAAAAGCAAGTCATCCCAAATCAACCCAGACAGCTTTTGCAGCCTAAAAAAAAACTTACAAAAATAGTATAACACTTTTCTGTCGGGTACCATTTAATTTGCATTGCAATAATTCCGAAGAATTATATAACCGCATTAAAAAGGATTTTATCAGCATTGGGCCACACCATTGCGAGCATAAATTGCCAAAGCAAAAATGCCTGAGTCCCTAAGGAGCACAACGGGCCACGCTGTTAATAATATTGGGCTGAAGTACTGTTCAGGCCTAGGCCCATTAGCACCCCCGAAATCCTTAACAAAAATCCCGAAGTCTAAGCGGCGCTTCGTCTTCCCCGCCGGAACTCTCGCCATTTCCCCCATTCCTTGCTACAGTACAGAGCTGCGCCGGCGAAACTAGGGTTCACCATTCCACCCCAATCCACCTCCAAAAGTTCACAAAAATCCTCCACGCAACTCACCGCTTCGATTCCACATCTCTCCCCAGCCATCTCTCGAATCAAATCAACTCATTCGGATCAAATCGATGACGGAAGAAAAGGAAAGCTTTAAAAGCCAATGGGCGCCGTCCGACGTGACGGAGGAGAACTTGAAGGAGATGGTGGTGCACGGCGTTCTCCCAGCAAAGGAGATCATCGGATGGCGGCCAGCATTTGGTGAAGCTTTCCCAACCCCCGATACACATGAGGTCATGGTTTTTTCTCACTTCTTCTATGGCGGTTTTGCTCTTCCAACTTCGAAGTTTTTCCGTGGGATCTTGAACTTCTACGGGATTAACCTGCATCACTTGAACCCAAACTCCATAGTCCACATTGCCAACTTTATTCAAGCTTGTGAAGCTTTTTTGGGCATTAGGCCACATTTCGCCTTGTTCCGCCGCATCTTCTTCCTCAAGCCCCAACCAAACAAGAGTAAACCATGTGTCGTGGGAGGGGCTGGTTTCCAACTCAGGGGAACCTTGAGCCAAAAATACTTCTCCATGCCCTTCAAAACTTCTAACAAAGGTTGGCATGCCAATTGGTTCTATGTTCAAAGCCCTAAGCCTGCACTCCCCGAGTACTCCTGTCTTCCTCCTGTCTACCAAGGTATATGGAATTCATTGCCTATAGTAGATGAAGCTGCTCAGGCCGTGGAACTAATGGAACGTATGCTGAAGCTCAAGGAGCAAGGTTTGCAGGGAGAACAGATCACTCGGCACTTCATCAAAAGTCGGTTAGCTCCAATCAAAGAAAGATCCCGCACGGCTTTTGAGTGTGATGGCAAACATGATCCAAATCGCGAAGATCCAGATTCATTGGACTTTAAGATCATGAAGGAGAGGATGTACAAGATCTTCTCAAACGCTATCGTCGTCAGCTATTCACATCTGCTGCTAGTTGTGCCATATAACGCATTCAACCCCCCTCCACCGGTATGTGTTAAAGTTCTTCAACTTTCCTCATAATATGATTGTGTCTTCTTATTGAATGAACTGACCGTGGAAAGCATCTTATTTAGGAATTTGCTTTGATGAAGTCTGACCCCCCAATTGCTCAACGCCGATCTCCCCGTTGTCAGACCGTCCAGGGGAGTGGGGGACCAAAAATCAGGTCAGACTCCCAATCCAAAGCTCCCAATCCGACTGGGCAAGCAGATTCTCGCAAAAGAAAGCTTGTGCTGAGCGACGACGAAGGCGATGACAACACTAAACTTGGGGATAAGGGATCACCCAAAAAATTGCCGAAACACACTGCTCCGAAGAAGAAAACGTCTAGCTGTCCCATGCCAAAGTTCAGACAATCCTCCAGGTATAAACCATTCGGTGCCATCTCACTTTTTGACATGCTTCTCACATGAAAACATCATTGAAGACTGAAAAAACATTTGCAGGAAACCGTCTGATATAGATCCATCCGGAAAGGACTCCGATCCGGCTAACACAAAAACAAGTTCATCCAAAGACGCTGGGTCGATTCCTGAAGACCACCCGACTGGCGCTCAAGCATCAACTGACAACATAAACCCAAGCGACCAACCCCCAACTGGAAACCAGTCGGTGGAAGCGGAAACCGCAACCAGCCAGGAGCCCCCGACTGGAAACCAGTCGGAAGCAGGGCCAGACCAGGAAATCCCTAAGGTTGAAACTCAGGCTAATGCTTCCCAAGAACCGAACGCTGATAACGACCCAACACCTGGGTCATCAGATAAAGGGCAAGGATCACCTCGCGCTCATCTAGAAACTTCTTCAGGTAACCCATCTTCTCAGGCAATGCCAATCTGAGTAACTCCGATTTGCCTGTCTAATGTCTGGGAATACATCAGGACCACTAGCCGGCGACGAAGAAGAAATTCCTCGGATAAAGGCAGCTGCTGACTCTCGTCCCCCTATTCTAATCAAATGGTGGGACGACAACTTGCAGCCTGCAGGCATTGTCATAAACCGACAGAAAGAAGACGAAGAGGTGCGCCAGCTGAAGAAAGCACTCGGAGAAGCTACCCGCATTGTGAATGTAAGTTTTCCGGGTGGCTGCCTTTGGCTACCTTGTTTCCTTCTCGGCAAGACTT